GACTCAAAGTTTCATGGTTTATTTTCAACTCATCATCTATTTTAAAAATGACTAACTCGAGTTTTGCCCCTGGCTGCCTACAGTTCATCTTTCCTTGTGCCTCACTCAGCGTTCCCTCTCAGGCTCTTCTTTACAATTTAACCTTCAAAATAGTCCCAATCCCAAATATTCTGACCTGCTGTCTGTATAAGCCATCAAACTACCTCAGAAGTCTGTCATTTCTACATTCATGATGTACCTGAAGACAGTTGCTCACACCTGTGTATTTTAATGTGGGATTCAGAAAGGGTGCTCTTAGTTGTTACCCCATAATTTAACCTTTGTTTCCTCTGTCATCAAGTCAGTTCTTTTAAAATATATTTTTATTTATTTCAGAGACAAAGGGAGAGGGATAGAGAGATAGAATCAATGATGAGAGAGAATCATGCAACAGCTGCCTCCTGCATGCCCCACCCTGGAGATCAAGACCACAACTCCAGCACATGCCTTGACCAGGAATCGAACCGTGACCTCCTGGCTTATAGGTTGACGATCAACCACTGAGTCACGCTGGTGGGGCAAGTCAGATTTTTTAAGCTCATAAAACTTTATATCTTGTATGTGGAGCAAGCATGAAACTAGATGCTGGAGATAAACGATGAATAAAATACTAGCCAGAAAAGAAAATGTCAACCAATACTGTCAAGATTGGGAGGTGGAGGGTGATGGGAGGCTGCTTTCCCAGGGAAATGAGTATTAACTTCTCTTATGGGAAATGTGAACCATATAACTTTTGTTGTCCTTTTTTCAATGGAAGGAATAAAACTCCGAATACAACCAACTAAAAAGTAATAGATATCATTTTTCACTCATTGGGTTATAAATAGTGCTATCTAGCGGTGACATTTTGTCACTGCATAGCTGACATGGCCTCTTTGAAGAACAATTTTTATCAAGTATTTTAATACAATTTTTCAATGTGTTTATCCAGCAATTCTACTTCCAGGTATCTCCCTTGGAGAAATACACATGTGTACAAAGAGGCCTGTATAAGAAAGTTAATGGCCACATCCTCTATAATAGTAAAAGAAGGAAACCACCAGATACTATGCAATAGTAACAAAGAAAGAGCTAAATCTACATGTACTGCCCTATCTGCTGGATACGTGAAATTAAGTGAAAATACTGAGTTGGAGAATAATACAATTTCAACCCATTGCTGTTAAAAACTAAGACCAAGATAAATGTTTTTAATGCGCGCATGCACCTGTGGTAAGCACAGCTGGTTTTCCCCCACAGCCATTCCCTACTCCCCCTCCCTCCTTGCAAAGAGAATGCCCAGAGTTTTTTCGAGCAACAGCCAGATAGCTATGGGCTCAGGGCCAGCAGGCCCCTGGGATGAAGAGTAATTGGTTTTATGGAAAATTGGTTCCTTTTGCCAAGGAAACATGAGGGAAAGTCTGCAGGGTGACTTCTAGGACAGACTCTCTCCTTTGATCAAAAGGAAAAACCTTACTTGGCAGGGGTGGCTCAGTGGTTGAGCATCAACCCATGAACCAAAGGTCATCGGTTTGATTCCCGGTCAGGGCACATTCCCTGGTTTGGGGCTTGATCCCCAGTAGAGGGTATGCAAGAGGCAGTCAATCCATGTCTCTCTCATGGATGTTTCTATCTCCCCCTCCTCTCTCTGAAATCAATAAAAACATTTAAAAGAAAATGCAATATTTAAACATAAATAAATAAAAGGAAAAGCCCTGCCAGGAAAGAAGCTGCTTTTCCCCGTCCCCTCTTTTCCATGAGGAATGTCCCGTGTGTGTGAGGATGTGGGATTGAGGTGCAGCAGCCATCGGTAGCCATGAGACACCGGCAAAGAGAACCACAGACGCACAGACCAGAGGTGGTGCATTGTTGAGCCACAAATGGGTTCTGAAGCCAGTCAGCTACCTCTAGGCTTCTTAAGCAATAAATGTCCTTAAGATTTAAGTCATTATTCTTCAGGTTCTGTTTCTTGCATCTGAACACATAATTGACTCAACAACAATGGGAGAGAGAAAAAAATACTAGCAAGATATGCATCAAATTGTTACTAGAGGGCCCATGGAGAAGGAAGGAAAAGAGGACTTTCACTTTCTAAAAAGTACCTTTTCCCAAATACTATATTTGAGTATTGCTGAGGCCAAAAATAGGGGAGGGGGGCGGGCGGGAGGGGAATATACAGCTGAACTTCAGCAACCATGTATATGGCCTACGTATCTGGGTTCTAATTTCCCGTTTTCCCCCAAGGCCCTGGTTCATGTGTATTTTCCCTTTTTACTGTGTTTTGGAAAACCACTTCAAATCTTACATGGAAAGACAGCATAAGCAAACAATGCGACACAGAAGTCCATCTCGGGCTTGCTAGATGTGCAGAGTTTGAGAGGCACAAAAACCAAGGCAAGGAGGAAGCATCAGAAAAACAAAGGCGCGGGGGAGAAAAGCAGCCGGCTTCTCAGGGAACGTTCACGTAGCTCACTTTGTAAAGTGTATGGCTATCTAACCACTACACCGTACACCTAAAACGAATACAAAATGGCACAATGTAAACTGCAATTAAAAAATAAAGTTAAAAAGAGTATACACACCCTTCTTTGAGGACCACTCATCTTCAAAAGGATGATGACTTTAAGGTTGGGATGTTCAACCTCTCTGAACTTCGATTTACTTCCCTATAAAAAGGGGAAAAGAACAATGAGAATTTCCTGAGATCCGTATATCATGATGTCAGCACAAGTGATATCACCAGGGGCTCAGAAATGCTGTCCCAGCCCCACATTCTCCCTCCTCCCCACCCCTCTGACCCCAGCCCCCACTTCCTCCAGATAAGAGTAACAGGACAGACAATGCTTTTTGTTGTGTGGGATGAATTTGGAAATCAATTCAAGTGACATCCCCAGTAGCTTAAGGGCTGACTGCAGGTGTAAGGAAGCACTTCATTTTCACAGGCATTTGCCTGCCTCCACCCCATCCCCAAGCTCAAGTGTAAAAATGCTGGTCACAAACCCTACAGCAGGTCACCTCACCCCGTGCAGGCTTAGAAAGGCGTATGTATCCTCACCAGAAACACACACGCAGGAAGGCAAGAGGCGTCTCACCTGCAATTTGTTCAAAGAAAGTCCACAGACTAATAATCCTTTAGCTTAATGAATATTTATGGGAATGGGAGGAGAAATGGTGGGATACACCCAACTTCAACTTGCCAATTCATTATTCAAATAAACCTGAGTATACCCTGTGTGGCTCTGGATGGCAAAATATCACCTCACAGCTCAAGACAGTCGCACACACACACACACACACACACAGATATGAGCTACATTCATGTTAACTTAGCAACTGCCAGCGGAGAATTGTGTAAAGGAGTTCACGATTGTGGTTCTCATCTCTTTGAAGAGTTAACTGAGCACTGGTTACAAAGAAAAGCAATAAGAACCTGACTCAAATTCCCAACTCCCCCAGAGAGTGAAAAAAAAAAAAAAACACTAAAAGACAAGACCCAGGATTGGTAGCTTCTCTGTCTGTAGAACAAACAGCACGTTTATCTATCCAGGAGATTGAACTGGGGATTCTTGGCTCTGCCCCTTGGAGAGTACAAAAATAACCCAGGGATGTTCGAGTTAAAACTTAAACTCTGCTTCCATCGTTCTCTCTAGAATAACTTCCTGTAAATCTTTCAGCCTCTGAAAACCATACACAGAATAAGCACATACAAGGCTTGGTGTCCATTTCTGAAACAAACAATAGTTTGGCAGAAGCTAAAGACAAAGTGGTAAAAATCTACAAAAAGCCTTCCTTCAGTTACTTCATAATCCAATGCTGCCCTCTAGCAACTCAAGAGCGAAATAACACTAACAAGCCAAACAGGAGTCGGGAATCTGAAAGGTTTAGGATTAGTGTCTACTTTGGAAAATGTTGCTACAAGAGAAAGGGTCTCCACAATTGTACAGCAAGAGCCCATCTCAACAGAAAATTTCCTTTTAGAAAGATGCTGGGATATATTAACACAATCCGCACCTACTGGGCTACTCTACAGACTGAAGAGGCCTTGAAGACACTGAAGATACCCACGCACCTGTTTGAATTAGTTACGTGGGATTTATTACTTCCCTGCGTAGAGCCGGTTTTTGTCCCTGGAAAAACTTCCTCCTCTCCCTTGACTTTTCCATGTTTTAGCAAGGAGGCGGGTTGAAAGCTCTTAGACCTGCTTGATACTTCTCACAACCAATACTTCATAAATACATGGTATCGTGTCAGTTTTTCCTAAGAAATGTAGGGACTAGTCTAAAGCAAAGCTCTATTACCAAGGACTGTGGAGTCAATTGCCAACCTTGGAACTCAAAGGAAACATTTAAGTCTTGGTAAGGAATATTTCCAGGAAGGAGAGTGGAACTTAAAGGAAACATTTAGTCAGGGTAGTGACTATTTCCAGGAAGGGGAGTGGCTAATAATTAGTAGGACAAGTGTAACAGGTTTCCATGTGCCTCCTCTCCCGTGAACAATCTCAACCACTTGAAGTGCTATGTCCAGAAAAGGCTTTTCATTCCACAATCTCTTTTCAGGACCACTTGGAAGTTCGAAATTCATTCTGAGATCTCATCGCTCTCATGTCAAGCCGATCAGAGCCTCTGTTAGTTGTTACCCTGAAACATGGAGAGACCTACACTGGGAAAGTAGGACCTACTAATCAGGGCTAAGTGTGAAATAGGAGAACACCCGCCTATGTGACTTCTGGCTGCAGACAGGTGTTTCCAATTTCTCAGGTTTCATCCTAAAAGAAATGAATCCAAGTTAGTGCGTCTATGTGTAGGTGGGGAGGGAAGAACCACATACATTTTTTTAAATCTTTATTGTTGAAAGTATTACATATGTCTCCTTTTTTCCCCTCATTGACCTCTTCAAGCCCGCCCCTGCTCTCCCACATACATTTATTTTCAAACAAAAGTTGTCATGTGTTTATTATACATTTCTATTAAATATGCACAGCTGGCTCAAAAAAATCACGATCCGTACATTATCACACATTCTGGAAAGCTTCTCAGATCTATCAGGATGGGCTTCTCTTGTGACTCAACTGAATCTGAGGAAAGAACAGAAGAAATCACACACCTGATTTATAACTGCTGGTCATCAACAAACGTAAAAAAACAAAGAAAGAAACAACATGTACTGACAATGTAATTTTCAGTGGCAAGATAGCTGGAGTGCTTCTCCCTCCCCTGCCCCCGGCTAATGTTTTGCTCAATATTATTCTATTTTCAAAAATCCTTTCCTGCCGAACCGGTTTGGCTCAGTGGATAGAGCGTCGGCCTGCGTACTCAAGGGTCCCCTTGTGACTCAACTGAATCTGAGGAAAGAACAGAAGAAATCACACACCTGATTTATAACTGTTGGTCATCAACAAACATGTAAAAAAACAAAGAAAGAAACAACATGTACTGACAATGTAATTTTCAGTGGCAAGATAGCTGGAGTGCTTCCCCCTCCCCTGCCCCCGGCTAATGTTTTGCTCAATATTATTCTATTTTCAAAAATCCTTTCCTCTATTTAAATCTATATGTGCTCCCAGTCTCTCCTCAACATGTATGAATCTCAAAGATCAAATCAGTCAATTGCAACAAATAGGCCCACTGCAAAGCTCAGCCTCAGAACTACCACCATGTCTCATTTCAAAGGTCAAGCCATGGGAGAAGCAGCATGTCCTACTGTCTTAAATTCTGGGCAGCAAAACTAATGACCAAACATTACCTAGGTCTTTGACAATCCACTATTAACTAGCTACAGGGCAAGCTCTTAATAATCTCTCAAGAAACATCTATATACTAGTAAAAGTCTAAGCAACCATTCAACTGGTAGCTATGACATGCATTGACCACCAGGGGACAGATGATCAACACACAGGCATGAAACATGGAACAGACTGATGAATCTCAGAGAGAAGGGGGAAGGAGGAGGGCGGGAAGAGATTAACCAAAGATCTTATATGCATACTAGAGGCCCGGTGCACAGATTCATGCACCAGTGGGGTCCCTTGGCCTGGCCTGTGCAGCCCAGGCCAAGGGACCCCACCAGTGCACAAATCCGTGCACTGGGCCTCTAGTATAGTATAAAATAAGAGGATTTGAGGCTGAGGGAAGCTTTCATTTTATCTGAAGATACTTATCTCTCACTGTTCAGTCTATTCTCCTTTGCAGATTAAATGTTCAGTAATTACAACATTAGAGACCTGACCTCAGAAGAAAAGAACCAGATTGTTGTGATTTGGGATAAGAAATTCCCAAGGACACTCTGCCAGTGTGGCTCAGGGGTTGGGCATCAACCTATGAACCGAGATCACGGTTCATTTCCCAGTCAAGGCACATACCTGGGTTTTAGGCTCAATCCCCAGTGTGGGGCATGCAGAAAGCAGCTGATCAATGATTTTCATCATTGATGTTTCTATGAAATCAACAAAAATATATTTTTTAAATAAAAAAAAAGAAAAGAAAAAGAAATTCCCAAAGAAGATTCAAGTCCAACCAGGCTCTTCCTGGTCTACCTTCCATCCCACTCCCCTAAATGAATATATAGCAGCACAGGGGCAAAGAAACAAAGATCAGCTAACGTGGTCCCTCTGCCACTGACAGCAATGGGTGTAACCTTACAACCTGGAGAAGCAATTTAAAGGATTTTCTTACTTCAAATGATCTCTTTAGAAGTCTGAGTAATGGTGCAACCTGAAAAAGTACAAGACAAATCATCTGAACAACTCTGTGATAACCCAGAGTATTGTCAATCAGATCACGGAAGGGCACTTAGGGATATTTTAAGGGGAATGAGGGGGTGGAGTATAGTCACAATCATTCTCACCAGGCAGCCAGGTTAAGAATTCTCAATCGGACATTCTGAAGGAGTCTAATGCTAATACCTCAGATTTTAGATAAAAGTCTTAAGCTTGTCCCAAAGCATCAAATTGGGGTCTAAGAAATACCTGACCAGCCATACCCCATAGAAATATTGTCAGTCCAACCTGCTTGTCAGAAACTCTCACTAGAGAGCAACGCTCTGGTGAAAACGCTAATGGCCTGTGGGGCTTACTTAAAGAAAAGCAAACTTCTGTTATAATAGACCAAAGCTTTGGAAGAGAATGTCTACGTGCAACAAGACTCTGTATTCTTTTATATAATCCAAACTGAAAGAATCACCAAAAATGATCTGAAATGAGAATGATGGACTATATCAATTTTCCAGGTATAACCCATTTTCCTTTCAAAGTAAGTTGAACTTGAAACCATATTATTGTTTGCTATATTCTTTTCACAGCTATAGCCTCAAAGTCAATTTACATGCCTCCTTTTCTTCACTCCAGATTTCATTTTATTTCGAAAACAGATCTTCCCCAAAGCATATAAACATAAACACAGGCTTCTATGCAGCACCCACTACCAACACAAGGGAGCAAGGCGGCGGGGCTGTGATTTAAGTGGCAGGTTTCCAGCTCTTGGGTTCTCCCTGAAGAGCCACCTGTCACCGAAATCTCCTGGCAACAATGCAATTAGATTTCACTTGTTCCTGCTCTATAGCCAAGTGTACTGAGGGCAGAAAAGACCCTGGACGGAGCATAACTTTTGGATATCTTTGTGGTTAACGTCCTTATTTGTAGCTTACAGCTGCAGGAAAAGAAAACTTTTTTTTTTAATTTAAATCTAATGGAGTACATAGCAAATTGTGAAATCAACATAAGGCACAAGACAATGGCAATATTATTAAAGTGGCTACTTTTCCTCGATTTGGCATTTTCAAAATACAGCTTACTCAAAAATAAAATTTAAAAATCCCCAGGTGAACCTTTCTGCTAGTGCCATTTGATGGTTTTATGGTAGAAAAATGCACCTTTTGTTAGATAATAGAGATGAGATGTCAAGCTCTACACTCTACAATTTATTAATTAATAACTTATTGTAACTGATTAAAAATTACAGATTTATTAGCATCTCTTCACACTTTCAAAGGAAGATTATAGATATTTCTGACTTTTACACATAGATACTTACCTATACAGTAGGGCCCTGCCCTTTTCATTCCCCAAAGCAACATATCCACTTCTTGGAGAAAAATCCATGGTATGCACAAGAGAAATATTATTCTGCTTAAAGACAGGGAAGTTTGAAAATACTGTACAGGAAGGAAGGTGAACCTGCAGGAAATAATGAAAAGCTTTACATTTCAACAACTGGGAACTCAACTTTCTTAAATTTTAATCTTCACTCTATCTTTTAGCTGGAACAAAAAACTCATTTTGACGGTAGTACACATTAATGTAGCAAAATATTCCAAAATTATAATTTGATTTTCAAATTTGAGAGGGAAGGGAGGGAAGAGAAAACAGCGTTTTCTTGATGTTTTTAAAGATGCATCGAGCATGGTGTCTGGGGGATTCAAATGCTTGCCAAATAAATGAATAAACAAAGTCAATAGAAATACCTGTTGATGCTCGAACTTAATGACCACAGTAAAGAATACAAAAATTGCCCTAATCGGTTTGCCTCAGTGGATAGAGCGTCGGTCTGTGGACTGAAAGGTCCCAGGTTCGATTCTGGTCAAGGGCATGTAGCTGGGTTGCGGGCACATCCCCAGTAGGGGGTGTGCAGGAGGCAGCTAATCGATGTTTCTCTCTCATCGATGTTTCTAACTCTCTATCCCTCTCCCTTCCTCTCTGTAAAAAATCAATAAAAATATATATTTTTTAAAAAAGAATACAAAAATCTGTCACAGGGAATGGCTACTTTAAACATTATGAAGCGTCTGATTTTACATAATGGAAGCCTCGGCAAAGTCATGCCACGTATTCCAATAGCTGCATGTAATTTTATTTTCTCGCTTTTCCTTTTCAACTATGCAACACATTCTTTGCCTTTTGCAATTTCTTTGTGCAAAGTCCCCATTGTAATCTCTCACTGCATTAGCACATCTTTCCTCAGACCTATGGCCCATCAGTGGTCGGCAAACTGCGGCTCGCGAGCCACATGCGGCTCTTTGGCCCCTTGAGTGTGGCTCTTCCACAAAATACTACGTGCGGGCATGCATGTACAGTGCGATTGAAACTTCATGGCCCATGCACAGAAGTCGGTATTTTGTGGAAGAGCCACACTAAAGGGGCCAAAGAGCCACATGTGGCTCACGAGCCGCAGTTTGCCGACCACTGCCCTACCTGGTTAGAATGTGGCTGTGTTCTAACCTCTATGGTTACCTTTATTCAAAGATATAATTGAACAATTAATTAAAACCAAACTGCTTTACTTTAGAAAGTTCTCTTTATCTCCAAACACACTTCTGTCATTACATTTAAGGGCCCAGATATCAAAATTCAACAAATAAAGCTCATTCATCCTTAATTTAATAGATAAGAAGTTGTCCAACTTTCTACTACAGCCAAGATTATAGATATAATAACAATTTAACTTCCCGGTCTCTTAATGGCACAATGCTTTAGATTTATATTCACTGTGCTTTACTGGGATAACAGAACTGTTTGGATCGTTATGAAGAATGCATTTAACGATGCTAACATTGTTTCCCTGAGATATTCTGAAGTTGCTATGCCTGGCTTCTTTCCATTAGACATTATGGTTGACTAACATTTAAAAAATGGGATTTGGCTGTTCCTAATGAATTCCTTGTGTGATTTTACCACAATAAAACACCATAAATGCTCTTATGATCACTGAAGCAAACTAGGCAGAACTTACTAGGCATCTTGCAGAATATATTATATCCACATGAGATAGGCCCCCTGGTTTTATAAAACAATTTACTACCACTGAAATGATCAATGATTAATATGTCCTAGTCCACCACTCCCATTGGAGGAGTGGAGATTTTAAAGCTGACTTGAATTAGAACCTTCTCGTTTACCAAATGATTCATTCAACAGAGGCAATAAAACAATGCTGTATTTTTTTTCCAAACATTTTATTCTAGCAGAATCCTTTCCTCCTCAAAGAAAGCGTTACACAGAATGCCAGTATGTACCAGGTAACAGTAAAGCTGCTCTATGTGATACAGGTGGGAGCTTGGCCTCCTTCTTGACCTACCTGCCATTTGAAGTCCTGTACACATTCTAGGACTCCGAGGAATTCAGTCAAGAAACAACTAAAGTGCTAGAAAAAAATATGGAATCTAGAGGCACAGTTATGCCCTTCACTAGCTGTGACTTTGAGTAAGTAAATCCTCTGAGAATTGTTATTTGACTCAAGATTCTTTGTAGAATTCTCTGTAAATCTTTGTAAACTATAACTATTATACAAAGCTGATGAAGCATGCCAGACTCTTTGCTGAGTGAAAGATAAAAAAACAGTCTGTGAAGTGCTTTCCACCTGGTAGTATACACATAACAACAGCACAGTGCAAGACCGCCATTCAAAGTTCTATGCCATCTGTATACCTAGTGCCTAGAGCAAATAACCATTGAATGAGTGAGGAAACTGATTCTGCTTAAGGGGAAAGAAACTTCACAGAGATGCGGTGACCTGTCCGCTGAGCTCTGAGACTGGGCAGAAAAGAGTTAACAGACGCCTGAGGCTGCTCTCCTTAGAAAGGCCCACTGCCGGCAAGGGGAGCCCTGGGATGGTGCCTGGGAACTTGACTGGTACACAGTCCCCTACACTGATCTGAAACTTCCTCTAAGTGACCAGGGTGGCACACTGTGCGTAAACCATGGATACAATGTGGTCTACGCTGAGCACCTGCCTTTACTCCTGGGAGCCTAGAATTTTAGTACATGCTGGGCAGAGGGTCCCTACATATGATCAACCCCAATAAAAACGTTGGCACTGAGTCTCTAATGAGCTTCACTAGAAAACACTTACCATATACTGTCACAGCTCATTGGAGGAGTTACACGTGTCCGGTGATTCCACTAGGAGAGGCCTGTTGAAGCCTGCGCCTGGTTTCCTCCGGACTTTGCCCCAGGCCGGTTTTGCTCTGTATCCTTTCCCTGTAACAACTCTTAGCCATAAGTACAACTATATACTGAGTCCTGGGGTTCCTCCTACAAAACCACCAAACCTGACTTAATCGGGTCAGAAGGTCACAGTTCAATTCTCAGCCAGGGCACATGCCCAGGTTTCGAGCTCAACCCCCCAGAAGGGCACATGCAGGAGGCAGCCAATCAATGATTCTCTCCCTCTCCCTATCTCTCTTAAATAAATTAAATATATACATATATATAAGGATGTGTGCATATGAGAGATCAGACAACCTCTTGACTAGATAGTCAACTCACATTATCCATGAGGGGCAGATGGATATCAGGTGCCTCCAGATGTGATCCCTGGAGAGGGACACAGTATCACTTAGTATTCAAGCTGGGATGCATAATCTAACCATGAAGAAACATCAGAAAACCCCCGAAATGAGGAACTATCTATTAAACACAAAAACAGGATTGTACCTCCAAAAGTGTCACAAATGACAAAGGCTGCAAAATATTCCAGATGAAAGGAGACTAAAGAGATGTGACAACTAAATGAAATACTTGAACCTACATGTGTTCCTATACTAGAGGAAGAAAAAGAAATGCTATAAATAACATTATAGAGTCAATTGACAAAATTAGAATACAATAGATTAGATAAAATATTGTATTGATGTTAAATTACTGAAGTTGACATGTAAGAGAATATTCCTATTCTTAGCATTGAACTGTTTCAGAATAAAGGGGCATGATGTGTGCAAACTAGTGCTGAAGAGTTCAGAAAAAAAATTGTGTGTGTGTGTGTGTGTGTGTGTGTGTGTGTGTGAAAAAGAGAAAGAGAAAACAAATTATAAAGCAAATGGGGTTGCCATATGGGGGCTGGGTGAAAAAGGTGAAGGATTAAGAAGTACAAATTGGTAATTACAAAATAGTCATGGGGATGTAAGGTACAGAACAGGGAATATAGTAAATACTACTGTCATAACTATGTATGGTGCCAGATAGGTACTAGACTTATCAGGGGTTCACCTTTTAAGTTATATAAATGTCTAACTATGCTGTACACCTGAAACTAACATAATATTGAATGTCAACTATATTCTTGACCTACCTGCCATTTGAAGTCCTGTACACATTCTAGGACTCCGAGGAATTCAGTCAAGAAACAACTAAAGTGCTAGAAAAAAATATGGAATCTAGAGGCACAGTTATGCCCTTCACTAGCTGTGACTTTGAGTAAGTAAATCCTCTGAGAATTGTTATTTGACTCAAGATTCTTTGTAGAATTCTCTGTAAATCTTTGTAAACTATAACTATTATACAAAGCTGATGAAGCATGCCAGACTCTTTGCTGAGTGAAAGATAAAAAAACAGTCTGTGAAGTGCTTTCCACCTGGTAGTATACACATAACAACAGCACAGTGCAAGACCGCCATTCAAAGTTCTATGCCATCTGTATACCTAGTGCCTAGAGCAAATAACCATTGAATGAGTGAGGAAACTGATTCTGCTTAAGGGGAAAGAAACTTCACAGAGATGCGGTGACCTGTCCGCTGAGCTCTGAGACTGGGCAGAAAAGAGTTAACAGACGCCTGAGGCTGCTCTCCTTAGAAAGGCCCACTGCCGGCAAGGGGAGCCCTGGGATGGTGCCTGGGAACTTGACTGGTACACAGTCCCCTACACTGATCTGAAACTTCCTCTAAGTGACCAGGGTGGCACACTGTGCGTAAACCATGGATACAATGTGGTCTACGCTGAGCACCTGCCTTTACTCCTGGGAGCCTAGAATTTTAGTACATGCTGGGCAGAGGGTCCCTACATATGATCAACCCCAATAAAAACGTTGACACTGAGTCTCTAATGAGCTTCACTAGAAAACACTTACCATATACTGTCACAGCTCATTGGAGGAGTTACACGTGTCCGGTGATTCCACTAGGAGAGGCCTGTTGAAGCCTGCGCCTGGTTTCCTCCGGACTTTGCCCCAGGCCGGTTTTGCTCTGTATCCTTTCCCTGTAACAACTCTTAGCCATAAGTACAACTATATACTGAGTCCTGGGGTTCCTCCTACAAAACCACCAAACCTGACTTAATCGGGTCAGAAGGTCACAGTTCAATTCTCAGCCAGGGCACATGCCCAGGTTTCGAGCTCAACCCCCCAGAAGGGCACATGCAGGAGGCAGCCAATCAATGATTCTCTCCCTCTCCCTATCTCTCTTAAATAAATTAAATATATACATATATATAAGGATGTGTGCATATGAGAGATCAGACAACCTCTTGACTAGATAGTCAACTCACATTATCCATGAGGGGCAGATGGATATCAGGTGCCTCCAGATGTGATCCCTGGAGAGGGACACAGTATCACTTAGTATTCAAGCTGGGATGCATAATCTAACCATGAAGAAACATCAGAAAACCCCCGAAATGAGGAACTATCTATTAAACACAAAAACAGGATTGTACCTCCAAAAGTGTCACAAATGACAAAGGCTGCAAAATATTCCAGATGAAAGGAGACTAAAGAGATGTGACAACTAAATGAAATACTTGAACCTACATGTGTTCCTATACTAGAGGAAGAAAAAGAAATGCTATAAATAACATTATAGAGTCAATTGACAAAATTAGAATACAATAGATTAGATAAAATATTGTATTGATGTTAAATTACTGAAGTTGACATGTAAGAGAATATTCCTATTCTTAGCATTGAACTGTTTCAGAATAAAGGGGCATGATGTGTGCAAACTAGTGCTGAAGAGTTCAGAAAAAAAATTGTGTGTGTGTGTGTGTGTGTGTGTGTGTGTGTGTGTGTGAAAAAGAGAAAGAGAAAACAAATTATAAAGCAAATGGGGTTGCCATATGGGGGCTGGGTGAAAAAGGTGAAGGATTAAGAAGTACAAATTGGTAATTACAAAATAGTCATGGGGATGTAAGGTACAGAACAGGGAATATAGTAAATACTACTGTCATAACTATGTATGGTGCCAGATAGGTACTAGACTTATCAGGGGTTCACCTTTTAAGTTATATAAATGTCTAACTATGCTGTACACCTGAAACTAACATAATATTGAATGTCAACTATAATTAAAAATTAAAAATAATAAATTTTAAAATAAAACATAAACAAATGGGATAACATGTTAATAGTAGGTAACCTAGATAAAGAGTATATTGGTGAACTTTGTGCTATTCTATTTCTCACAGCTTTTCTGGAAGTCTATTTCTAAATAAAATGAGGGGGGGTATTGTTGTTTTTCATGAGTTCATATAGAGTTATGCGCTTCACTTATGTTGAATTTCTCATGTAAGCACTCTGGAGATGTTCTTTCAAGATGAACTGAAGCAGCCAATAGCCTAAGAAATTCAAGCATTAATAAGAGATAATAAACATCAGAGAAAACAGCAAAAGCCATGCCATGCTCTCTTCTGCCTCCCTCATCAACCAAGTGCTTTTATGAACCCACACATTCAAGCACACACATATCAAACAAGAGGTCACCCTGTCCTCAGAGATTTTTTAACTGGTTCATTCCTCTATCCATGACCTTCCCAAGATGTCTGAAAACCCTGAACTTCTTCATGCAAGTACCACCTAGAGGGTGACCTATTATTCGGATTGTCAGGGACCAAGGGACTTTCTTGGATATGGGCTTCCAGTGCTAAAACCAGGACAGTCCCTAACAGTCACCCTTCCATTGAGGTTCTGAGTTCTGGAGCCAGAAGAAAGTCGGATTTCACTCCCATCACCTACACCATCTCTCTTTTCTCTCCCCCTCACTGACGTAGACCTGGAACTTGGCCCCTTTTTTGTGGTGACACCACCATCTGCCCCAACATGAACACTTCTCTCTCAAGGCAAGGCAACTAGGAACCTGCCTGCTCCACCAGGAAGCAATGGAGAGGACGAGGTTGGAAAAGACCCCTTGCAGAGAAATGGGGAAAAGTGTGTGCAGGTCCCTGCTCTCTTCCGCTTCTTGCTGCAGCCCAGCGTCAGCCTTGGGAGCAGAGCTTCTTGCGTTACTTTGTTGAATGACTCTGACTCGCCACCTGAGGCTTATTTTTGCTCTTTTTCCATTATAGAAACCTTATCTTGTGAGTCAGGGTGGAGATAAAAACGTGAGCATCGAATGAGTGGGGGCTGATCAGGGTTAAGACTGAGTGGGAAGCCCTAGCTGTTTTGGCTCAGTGGATAGAGCGTCGGCCTATGGACTGAAGGGTCCCAGTTCAATTCTGGCCAAGGGCACGTGCCCAGGTTGCGGGCTCGATCCCCAGTAGGTGGAGTACAGGAGGCAGCCAATCAATGATTCCCTCTCATCATTGATGTTTCTATCTCTCTCTCCCTCTCCCTTCCTCTCTGAAATCAATAAAAATATACTTAAAAAATAAATAAAAGGGTGAGTGGGGAGAAGCAAAGGGGTACATAAGCCCTTATAAACCCCCCACCTTTGCCTGAGAGGGCTTGACTAGCCAGGAATATGGAGCCCTCTTCCCTCACTGTGGTCTGCAGGGGCAGAGGGAAGACAGAACCTCATCTGGGAGGGAAATTGCCTGCACAGCCCTGTGCCTGCACCAGGGTTGGTGGCTGCAGGTCCCTGGAGTCCCTCTAAACCCGCCCAAGTCCTTGAGTCCTGAATCAGATGGGTTGTTCTAAGGACAACTATAAATCCTATATAATAAAAGCCTAATATGCTACGTGTCCAGTCGACTGGTCAGCTGTTCAACCAATCAAAGCATAATACGCTAATGATATGCTAAGGATGCTCAACTGCTTGCTATGATGTGCACTGACCACCAGGGGGCAGACGCTCCAACTTGTAGGTTAGCTTGCTGCTGGGGGTCCTGCTGGGTAGGGACTGAGCAAGATGGGCAGAACACACCCTGGAACCCTCCCACTGTCCCTCCCCGGCTGGCCAACCTCCTGCATCCTTCCCCGGCCCTGATCATGCACTGGTGGGGTCCCTCAGCCTGGCCTACACCTTCTCACAATCCAGGACGCCTCGGGGGATGTCAGAGAGCTGGTTTCGTCCGGACCCCGCAGGCTAGGCTGAGGGACCCCACTGGTGCACAAATTTGTGCACCAGGCCTCTAGTTTTAAAATAAGAGGCTTAATTCTCCCAGGTGAGAGGAAGGGGGAAAGAGCTTCCCCCACTTCTCCCTTTTCTTTCAGAATTTCTTTCTTTGTCCTTTCCAAATGTACTTAAATCTTTTTCATGGCCATATAAGTCACTTGCCAGTCTTACAACTCAGGACTGTTTCCTCAAGGACCTGGGAGCCACCTCGTTGCAATGTAATCATTGAGGAAGATAACACTCTATCTCCCAGTTTCCTGGGAGCCGATGGCCTAAATTGTTACCTGACTCCACCTTGCAGAAACCTACATAAGAGCAAGATTGTTTTGTCTTTGCAGTCCCTTCAGCAGGTTGCCTGTGATACTCCTCTCACTCTGATTTAATGCTTGTTCAGTAACATAACTGGTTTCTTACTTTTCCATCTTTGTGGAGAGATTTGGGGGATTAGGCGTGGATTTTGTTTTCAATTATATTCCCCACACTTTGTACAGCACCAGGGACATGAATTTCATGTCAAGGACAAGCGGGAAGACATGGAAACCTCTCTTAGACCCAACAAAGGCAGTTCAGACCCAGCTCTCTGTGGCTTCTCTCCCAGATTCCTAGCCACTGACTTTTTTATCTGTGGGCTTTGAATCTATGGGGTTTCATCTACAGGAACAGAATTTTGTAAGTAACCTGAGAGGGCTGCTGATGGTCTACATGCTTTGATGGCATCTTCAATTCCATCTCCAACCTGGGAGGCCAGGTGAATGGTATGATTCCTATGACCTGCAGGGCCCCGAGGAGGCATCAAATCCCGTGTTCACGCCTCACTTTGCTGCCTGCCCCTGGCTGTGGCTGTCCTCTCACTCAGCAAGCCAACACAGTTAACAAGGCCTTCCCACTGCACAGGACAAGCATAACCTGCCCCAGGATACCCCTCCCTTCTCACCTCACCCAGGAAGGCTCTGCAGGCACACTCACATCTTAACCTCTTTGCTTTTTTGCAAATGTCCACCAAGACCTCATGTTTTGAGATGGAGTTTAGAAAGAGAAGGTGGGGACTAAAGAAGGGTGGATATGGAGAAAGTTACTTTAGAGCTGAGCATGTAAGTGGAGGGGGGTGGGGATTTTAGGACATTCATGTGCCATGATGATTAGATGGGAGAGCCATCCATCCGTCTTCAGTAGGACGGCTGGGTCCTCCACCCTATTCTACTCTTCACCTTGATATTGGTGGTCCCCAATCTGTTACCCTTTGGGGAGCATACCTCCTGGGCGGCTAGGTTTTCCCCCATTGAGCGCTCAGGTCCCTGACTCGCTCCAGCCCTACCCGGCTTCGGACGCCGTGGGCGGGGCTCCGGGAGGGGGCGGGGCCTGCGG